CTCGTCCTGACCTCGCGTACCCTCTCAGCCTTCTGGCTCGCTACGTGGCTCCTGGTCGGCACCGAAAGGTGCACATGGATGCTGCTAAGAGGGTACTGCGCTACTTGTGCAGTACATCAGGCATGGGGCTCGTGCTTGGAGGGAGGAGCTCAGTTGTTCTCACTGGGCACTCAAACGCTTCTTGGGTTGACGACCAGACTACTCAGCGGTCGTCACAGGGTTACACCTTCAGCCTTGGCTCTGGCTCAGTTTCTTGGCATTCTACACGTTCGTCTTCAGTTCTCAGCTCCAGTTGTGAGGCTGAGATCTACGCCACAGCCATGGCTGCACAGGAGTTATGCTGGCTCACCTACCTGCTGACCGACTTGGGAGAGCGGCCTCGTTCTCCTCCAGTGCTGTACGTCGACAACAAGGCAGCCATTGCCTTGTGTGAGGAGCATAGACTGGAGCATAGAACGAAGCACATCGCTCTACGTTACTTCCTGGCTCGAGAGTTGCAGCAGCGTGGTCAGCTTCGTCTGCGTTACGTGGCCACTCGGGCCAACACTGCTGATATATTCACCAAGGCACTTCAGTCTGGTGATCATCAGCGTTTCTGCACTTTGCTAGGGCTTGTGCCCACTTTTCCTCACTTGCTGTAGGCTTTGCTTGTACTGTGATCTATATATATATACCTGCATGTTGCCTTGCTAGGTAGAGATCACTGTGCTGTTTGTGTTGCATATATGCCTCTGCATGTGAACTGGCCTTGTGGCCCGTTGCTTGTGCTCAGAGTGTGTGGTGACGTTGTGATCCACCCTGAGCTTGCTTTGCCTTTCTTGACTGGTCTTGTGACCCCTTGCTCTCCCCCACTTTGCCTATGGGGGTGTGTCAAAGTATATGCATGTTATCTATGTGTAGGCTGTAGTGGGGTAGCCAATATGGGGTACAGCCCCGTTTAGGGTTTCATACTTGTATCCAACTCTTCCATAGTTCATTCATTCCTGTCTCTTGATTCTGACAGAAGTCAATAGCATAGTTGTTGAATAATCAGCAGTCACATGAAACAACACAATCTGTGAAATTTAAAAACAAGATCACCCTATCAAATCCAGTTCAAGTGAGCGTACCCTTTTGAGTGTAACTCAATGAACCTCTGGGAAATGATAGAACTGATTCCCATTTTTACAAACCACAGACATGCATTGTTAATGAAATAATAGATGGATAGGATAGATGAATGCCACACATACGGACACATGCGCAGACGATCAGACAAACACACACACGCACAGAAACAAACCAATGCAAAAGAAACTTACAAAGAAAATAAACAGAAGATGCAAAAGATAAGTACCGAAACAATACAACACTATTAGTCCTACAAATTGCCACTACTGCGAGGACCTTGAGTTTCCAAATGGTATAGCAAAGCCTGAGGAGTAGGCAATAGAGAAACAAAAGGAGTGAAAAGGGAAATCAGAGGGGATACTGATGGCAATGTTGAAAAGCAACTCCACAAGCTAGCCATTTAAACACAAATAGCAGGGAAAGCACGAAAGGTACAATCAACAATCCCCTACATTCGCTAAATATGACATAAAAACGTCGTAGTAGAGAACAAATGAAAGCAGGAGACAATTTAAAACGAATAAGGAAATTGCGAACGATGACTATGAAATGAGGCACATACATTAGGAAAGAGATTAGGGCCAACAACATTATGGTGGAAACAACGAAAGGAGAAAAAACGAATACATAAATATAGAACGACAACGTTAGAAGGAGAAACGTCGAAAAGAGGTAGAGAGGTATAGAACAAGCTGAGAGAGAGATAGCGCAAATAGGGGCGTTAAAGAGCTAATGTAAACTACCGAGGCAGAGGGAAAACAAAAGAAACGAACAAAGGTAGGAGAAAAGAAGAAGAATCTATAGAAAGGGAGAGGATCCTACATAGGAGGCAGAGATAGACAACATTAAGAAATGACAAACTATTGTCAAATTATATGTTTAATGTTATCTAGGCTGTAGTGGGTTTAGCCTTAGGGGGTACAGAATTTTGCTCGACACTTCTTTGTATCCCCCTCCTAGCCCTAATCTCCTCATACCTTCATACTATTCTAACATGGTATTAAGAGCTAGGTTGTTCCTAACCTAGGACGAATTTTTTAGGGCCCACCGTTAAACCTTCCGTGTTCCTGCCCGAATCGCGTTCTCTGCTTCTTTCTGCCCGAAATGCGCCCTTAGGTGCATCGATTTTCGCTGCCCCGCGGCCCTGCCCTGTCCTGTCGCGCGTAGCCCGTGAGCAGCCCGTACAGCCCCCGTCTGGCCTTCGCGCCGCCCGTACAGCCCGCGCCACGCCCACGCGCGGCCCGTATAGCCTACGTTAGGCCCGCGCGCGGCCCGTACAGTCAGCGCTAGGCGTTAGCGCAGCCCGTACAGGCCACGTCAGGCCCGAGAGAGGCCCGTACATTCCGCGCTAGGCATTCGCGCAGCCCGTACAGGCCTCGTCAGGCCCGCGCGCGGCCAGCACAGCCCACGCCAGGCCTGCACGCTGCACTGCGCCTGTGCTGCTGATCTACCGCTGCTTCTACTTGCTGCAGCTGCTTCTACTTGCTGCCGCTGCTGCTACTTGCTGCAGCCGCCCCTGCAGCAGCCGCCCCTGGCCCCTGCAGCAGCCGCCCCTGGCCCCTGGAGCAGCTGCCCCTGCAGCAGCCGCCCCTGGCCTCTGGAGCACCCGCCCCTGCAGCAGCCGCCCCTGGCCCCTGGAGCAGCCGCCACTACAGCAGCCGCCCCTGGCCCCTGGAGCAGCCGCCCCTGCAGCAGCCGCCCCTGGCCTCTGGAGCACCCTCCCCTGCAGCAGCCGCCCCTGGCCCCTGGAGCAGCCGCCACTGCAGCAGCCGCCCCTGGCCCCTGGAGCAGCCGCCCCTGCAGCAGCCGCCCCTGGCCTCTGGAGCACCCGCCCCTGCAGCAGCCGCCCCTGGCCCCTGGAGCAGCCGCCACTGCAGCAGCCGCCCCTGGCCCCTGGAGCAGCCGCCCCTGCAGCAGCCGCCCCTGGCCTCTGGAGCACCCGCCCCTGCAGCAGCCGCCCCTGGCCCCTGGAGCAGCCGCCACTGCAGCAGCCGCCCCTGGCCACCTGGAGCAGCCGTCGCTGCAGGAGCCGCCCCTAGCCCCTCGAGCAGCTGCTGCCGCGGCCCGGCCCCGCCCTACAGCTGTAGCGGCCCCGCTGTCGCCGCCGTCTTGCGCCTGCCCTTCCCACCACTGGTGAGCACTGCTACTGCTTTTACTGCTCCTGCTGCTACTGCTGTTACTGCTGCTGCTACTGCTTCTACTGCTGCTCCTGGCGTGGCCAGATGCAGCTCCAGGACCGTCCGCGTGTGTCCCTCACGCCCCAGCAGCTTCGTGCGTGGTACGCCAGTTGGGGTTGTCGGGGTGGCAGTAGTGGGAGTCGTCCTGGAGTGGGTAGTTCGGGAGTTTCTTGTAGTGGCCCGGTGCAGCAGCAGCGTCGTCTACGCGAGGCTCTTTCGCCCCAGCAGCTTCGTGAGTGGTACGCTCAGAGTAGAGGGTCACTGAGTACTGCTCGCTGCCCGTACGTCATTCGCACAGGTGTCCGGACTGGTCAGCCTTGCGGGACACGTGGTCACACAGAGTCCCACTGCTTCTCCCGTCTGGGCGACGCTTGGCGTACAGAGCTTGGTGACGCCGCTGAGCTCCCCGACTGGGTGGAGCTGCTTAGGCAGAGGGTAGATATCTATGCTCTTGACTATGATGCTATCCTCACTGCCATGTATGCATTGTCTACTAGTGTTGAGAGTGCCTGTCACCTGTGTGTGCCGCCTGACCCCGGTATCCAGTCTGCTGCTCTAGGTACTGGTGAGGCTGCTGCACTAGGTGCTCGTGTGTCTGTTGCCTCAGGTGCTGGTGAGGCTGCCGCTCTAGGTGCTAGTGTGTCTGTTGCCCCAGGTGCTGGTGAGGCTGCTGCTCTAGGTGCTCGTGAGTCTGCGCCCTCTGGTACTGCGTCTACTGAGGCACTACACACCTTCACACTGGACTCAGGTGCTTCTCGCTGTTTCTTTCGTGACCGCACGGCCCTTGAGCAGCTTGCTCGGCCAGTTGCTGTGTCCCTCGCTGACCCCTCTGGGGGTCCGGTCATTGCGACCTCCTCCACGGTCCTCCCTTGTCCTGCGGTTCCGTCGGGCACACTGTCAGGTCTCCACCTCCCCTCGTTCTCTACGAACTTGGTGGCGGGTTGTGCGCTCCAGGACGGGGGTGTCCACCAGTTCACCCCTGCCTACGAGCGCGTGACACACTGCACGTGTGCTCGGACGGGCCGTCACCTGGCTACCTTCACTCGGCAGCCGGGGTCGGACCTGTACACACTGACCACTGAGTCCCCTCAGGTAGCTGCGTCTGCGTCTGCGTCAGGTCAGCTGTCGGCCCCCTGCTCGTGTCGCTCTCTGGCGCACGAGACCGTCCTCTGGCACCACCGCCTTGGTCACCCGTCCGTGCAGCGCCTTCGTGGCATGCACAAACGGTACCTTGTCTCTGGTCTTCCCAGGGTTCTACCTCCCCTCCCACCCTCGCCTGCTCCTCCCTGTCTTCCCTGTGTCGAGGGGCGGCAGCGCGCCGCTCCTCACTCCTCCTCGTTTCCCCCGACGACTGCTCCCCTGCAGACGCTCCACATGGACGTGTGGGGCCCAGCCCGCGTTCGTGGACAGGGTCACGAGAGGTACTTCTTGATTGTTGTTGACGACTACTCGCGCTACACCACGGTCTTCCCCTTGCGCACCAAGGGTGAAGTCCCTGATGTTTTGATCCCTTGGATCCGCGCTGCCCGTCTCCAACTCAGCGAGAGGTTCCACTCGGACTTTCCTGTTCTGCGTCTGCACTCTGACAGAGGTGGGGAGTTTTCCTCCGACCTCTTGAGGGCCTTCTGTCAGGGGGAGGGCATTGAGCAGTCGTTCACGCTTCCGGCCTCTCCACAGCAGAATGGGGTTGCTGAGCGCCGCATTGGCTTGGTCATGGAGGTCGCTCGTACCTCCTTGATCCATGCGGCTGCCCCCCACTTTCTGTGGCCGTTTGCGGTCCGATACGCTGCGCATCAGCTCAACCTCTGGCCCCGTGTCTCCGTTCCGGAGACTTCGCCGACACTGCGTTGGACGGGAGAGGCTGGCGATGCGTCGTGTTTTCGGGTCTGGGGATCTCGAGCTTTTGTTCGCGATACGTCCGCGGACAAGCTCTCCTGCCGCGCTGTTCCTTGTGTCTTCCCGGACGCGTCTGGTTGGCAGTTTTACCACGCCACCTCGCGCCGTGTTCTGCCCTCTCAGGACGTCACTTTTGACGAGTCGGTGCCCTACTACCGCCTCTTCCCCTACCGCACTGCCCCGCTCCCCCCCCCGCCTCTCTTCCTCGCGCCAGGTGCTGCTGTGGTAGACCCCCTCCCCCCTCAGGGTGCCGCTCCCTCAGGTGTGTCCCAGGTAGACCCGGTTGAGCCTGTCGAGGTAGCTGTCGACTCTCGTCCTACTTGGGGTGCTGAGCCTGAGCGTGCGGAGCCTGGGGGTGCGGAGCCTGGGGTTGCGGAGTCTGGGGGTGCGGAGCCTGCGGGTGCTGAGTCTGGGGGTGCTGAGTCTGGGGGTGCTGAGTCTGGGGGTGCTGAGCCTGAGGGTGCTGCGACTGAGAGTGCTACACCTGGAGGCGCTCTTTCCTCACAGCAGCTACGTGAGTGGTACTTACAGTACTGCAGCCTCAGGAGAGGTGCTGCTGGAGCTCGTGCTCGTGCTTCCCCTCCTAGGCGGGAGCTGCCCTCTCCCCAGCGGCTCCGAGAGTGGTACGCTCGTCGCTGCAGTCTCCGGAGTGGCGCTACTAGTGTCACGGACCCTGCAGCTGGAGGTGCTGCTGGTGCTGGAGCTGCTGGAGGTGCTGCTGCTACTCGAGGTGCTGCTGCTGCTGGAGGTGCTGCGGGTACTGGTGCTGCTGGTGCTGGTCCTACTGGAGCTGCTGGAGCTACTGGAGGCACTGCTGCTACTGGTGGTGCTGCTGGAGGTGCTGCTGGAGTTGCTGGAGGTGCTGCTGCTGCTGGCGGTGCTGCTGGCGCTGCTGGAGGTGCTGCTGGTACTGGTGCTGCTGGTGCTGGTGCTGCTGGAGCTGCTGGAGGTGCTGCTGGAGCTGCTGGAGGTGCTGCTGGTACTGGTGCTGCTGGTGCTAGTACTACTGGAGCTGCTGGAGGTGCTGCTGGTGCTGGAGCTGCTGGAGGCACTACTGCTGCTGGCGGTGCTGCTGGAGCTGCTGGAGCTGCTGGTCCTGGAGGTGCTCGTACTGGAGGTACTGGAGCTGCTGGGACTGGAGCTGCTGAGGGGGTTGGAGCTGGAGTTGCTGAGCGGCCGCGGCCGTACTACGTTCCGCTCCTTCAGCAGGTTCTTGGTCTCCCGCCCTCTACTAGTCCTACTCCTCCCCTACTGAGTCCACCGCCTGTCCAGTCACAGTCACAGTTACAACCTGCCTCTCCGCTGCGTGGTCCTTCTCCTTACACTGCGCCGACGGGTAGTCTTACTGAGCGTCGTGAGCCTGAGTCTCGTCCTCCGTCGCCTGTGTCTCGTCCTCCGTCGCCTGAGTCGCGTCCAGAGTCGCCTGTCCGCGCTGTCCGCGCTGGTCGTCGTGCTCCGCGTGAGCGTCCTCCTCCTGTCCTTGGCACTCACTATATGACCCTGCGTCCTTCCACTGCTCCACAGCGCATCCCTCTGCTGTCTCCTCCTGCGTCCTCTCTTCCTGACGTTGCTGACCCGCCGTCAGACCTTACTCGTGCTGCCAGTCCTACTGTCGCGCGTCTCCTTGCCACTGTTGTCACTGACCCTACCTTTGAGTCCTCTGCTGCGTCTGCTCTAGTCGCTGAGCTTGTTGACTTTGCTGCCGCCTGTCGTCTAGACTACGCCGCTAGCCTTGTTGCTGAGTCTGAGTCTGTCTGTCCTCCGTCCGTCGGGGGTGAGTGTGCTCTTGGCACGGACGTCCTTGAGGACAGACAGGAGGAGTTTGAGTGCTTTGCTGCTGCTTTACCTCATCTCGTGTCCATGCTGATTGCCCCTGAGGGAGACCCGGATGCACCAGACATCCCGACCCCACGCTCCTACGCAGAGGCGATGGAGGGTCTCTACTCCTCTCAGTGGCAGACAGCCATGGACGCGGAGATGGCTTCCTGGAAGTCCACAGGCACCTACGTCGACGAGGTTCCCCCACCTGGGGCGAACATCGTCAGTGGTATGTGGATTTTCAGGGTGAAGCGGCCGCCGGGTTCTCCGCCTGTCTTCAAGGCACGTTACGTTGCACGAGGCTTCAGTCAGCGAGAGGGAGTTGACTTCTTCCAGACCTTCTCCCCGACCCCGAAGATGACCACTCTTCGGGTTCTGCTGCACGTCGCTGCTCAGCGTGACTACGAGCTCCACTGCCTTGACTTCAGCACTGCGTTCCTACAGGGCACCCTGCACGAGGAGATCTGGCTGCGCCGCCCACCTGGCTTCACTGGGTCGTTCCCTCCTGGTACCCAGTGGAGCCTCCGGCGGCTAGTCTACGGTCTCCGCCAGGCACCCCGTGAGTGGCACGACACACTGAGGACTACTCTTGCTGCTCTTGGGTTTGCTCCTTCTACTGCTGACCCGTCGCTGTTTCTACGCACCGACACCACTCTGCCGCCGTTCTACGTTCTCGTGTACGTAGACGACTTGGTCTTTGCTACTGCTGACACTGAGGCACTCGCCCACGTGAAGTCGGAGCTGCAGAAGAGACACACGTGCACAGACCTGGGTGAGCTGACAAGCTATCTTGGCTTGCGGATCACCCGGGACAGAGCACAGCGCACCATCACCTTGACTCAGTCACACATGGTGCAGCAGGTCCTTTAGCGCTTCCGCTTCACGTACTCCTCGCCTCAGCCCACTCCTCTGCCTACCGGTCACTCGCTCTCAGCTCTGCCTTCGGATGAGTCCGTAGAGCCGAGTGGCCCGTATCCAGAGCTTGTGGGCTGCCTCATGTACCTGATGACCTGCACTCGACCTGACCTAGCCTACCCTCTTAGCATCCTAGCACGCTATGTCGCTCCTGGCCGTCACCGGAAGGAGCACATGGATGCCGCTAAGAGGGTGTTACGCTACTTGTGCAGTACGTCGGGCATGGGGCTTGTGCTTGGAGGACGGCGCGACGTTGTCCTCACTGGACACTCAGACGCTTCTTGGGCTGACGACCAGGCTACTCAGCAGTCGTCTCAGGGTTACACCTTCAGCCTTGGCTCTGGCTCGGTTTCTTGGCGTTCTACACGCTCTTCCTCTGTTCTCAGCTCCAGTTGTGAGGCTGAGATCTACGCCACAGCCATGGCTGCCCAGGAGCTTCGCTGGCTCACCTACCTGCTGACCGACCTGGGAGAGCGGCCTCGTTCTCCTCCAGTGCTGTACGTCGACAACAAGGCCGCCCTTTCCTTGTGTCAGGAGCACAGACTGGAGCACAGAACGAAGCACATCGCTCTGCGCTACTTCCTTGCTCGAGAGCTGCAGCAGCGTGGTCAGCTTCGTCTTTCGTACGTGGCCACTCGGGCCAACACTGCTGATGTGTTCACCAAGGCGCTTCAGCCTTGTGATCATCAGCGTTTCTGTACTGTTCTAGGCCTTGTGCCCACTGTCCCTCACTTGCTCACTTCTTGACTCTGCTTGTACTGTGATCTCTATATATATACCTGCATGCTTACACTTGCTAGGTTGTGATCACTGTCTTGCTTGTTCACCTTGATTTATAATCCTGCATGTGAACTGGCCTTGTGGCCGTTGAACTTGTGCTCGGAATGTGTGGTGACGTTGTGATCCACCCTGAGCTTGCTTTGCTTTGTTTCTTCTCTTGACTGGTCTTGTGACCGTTTCTTGTGTTGGCTATCCCCCACTTCGCCTATGGGGGTGTGTCAAATTATATGTTTAATGTTATCTAGGCTGTAGTGGGTTTAGCCTTAGGGGGTACAGAATTTTGCTCGACACTTCTTTGTATCCCCCTCCTAGCCCTAATCTCCTCATACCTTCATACTATTCTAACAACTATATGAAAAAACCAAAAACAGGGAAGGGAAGTGAACAACAAAAGCTGATAACAGAGGCAAATGAATCTGATACAAAACAAGTCAAAAGAAGATAATGAAAAAGGATCCAATACAAAACAATGAAAGTCTATCTAACCCTTCTAAGTCGGTAACAAAGGAGAGGAGGCTAAGGATATAAATATTGTATACTACAATAACTACATACTCACACCCTCCTTCACATAACTCTCTTCAAGCTCTCTTTCAGACACTCTCTCTCTCTCTCTCTCTCTCATATCGTGTCACTCTTCCCGTATTCTTTATCACGTCGTATTTTCGCACATGACTACGAACTACTCTCTCACTCTCTTCTTAAATTAAACTCACCAACTGCTATAGACATGCCCGTGCCCTTCTTTGCTGCTGCCGCCGCGGATAATGCGCATGACGGTGAGCGTGGCGCAATCGCCTCTAGCGCGCCCGGCACCAGCAAAACGAAGCCAGCGCAACTTGCACAAGCAGAACAATGTTAGCAAGAGGATAAAGAAGGAAGAATGAAGAAGAGAGACGAAGAAGGGAAGGAGAATCGAGAGAGAGATATGCATGACCGATGGAGAGAGAAGGAACGGTAACATGGGGAAAATTAGAATGACAAAACAGAAAAAACAGAGGATGACAAAACAAACAGGTTGTTACATCAACTTCTTGTAAACATCGACGGAAAATCCCTTCTCAACTATAATGAGCATTAGAACAACAATTCTTACCTAAGGAGCTGGAGTGGCGTGAATGGCGTAAGTGAAGAGAGCAGCTGGAGTGGCGTGAGTCGCTTCGAGGAAGGAGAGGAGGGAAGGGAGGTAAAAAGGGGGATAAATACGAAGATAAAGAAAAACAATGAGATCATGAAAGATAATGAACGGACCGATAGAATTGTAAGGCCTTAAGAAAAGACACCATGTCAGTTTCTGGATAGGACGGCTCTAAATCGATTACGAGAAAAACATGAATACAAACATGCAAATACGAGATAGTAGTAACGCAAGCGACGCAAGGAAAAGTAGGGATGAAGGATAGAAGAAACGGATGCTAGATTATGCAGGAAGGAACGAAACATAAAACAACCACATCGCAAAAATGCAGGCTCTGTTTTCGACGGTTTAGAGTCATCAGCGCGTTTTTTAGGGTTGTGCATGGTCGTTCGTGTCGTGCCTTGTGAGAAGATTTGAACAAGAATGAATGAACTATGAAATGAAGTGAGTACAAATATGAAACCCTAATTGGTTGTACCCCCTATGGAATACCCCACTATAGCCTACACAACAGCATAAGCTATAATGTTCTGACACACCCCCATAGGCAAAGTGGGGGAGAACAAGGGGTCACAAGACCAGTCAAGCAAAGTAAAGCAAAGCAAGCTCAGGGTGGATCACAAAGTCACCACACAGTCCGAGCACAGGGTCAAGGCCACACGGCCAGTTCACATGCAAGAGTACACACATATATATATAAAGCTAGACAAGCAAGAGCAGGTATATATATATGTGAGAGTACAGGCAAGGTCAAGAGGAGAGCAAGTGAGGCAAGACGGGCACAAGACCCAGCTGAGTGCAGAAGCGCTGATGATCACAAGGCGGAAGTGCCTTGGTGAAGACATCAGCAGTGTTGGCCTCAGAGGCCACGTACGCTAGCCGCAACTGACCACGTTGCTGTAACTCACGAGCAAGGAAGTAGCGGAGAGCAATGTGCTTTGTTCTGTGCTCCAGTCGCTGCTCTCGACACAAGGCCAGCATGGCCTTGTTGTCTACGTACAGGACTGGAGGAGAACGAGGCGGCTCTCCAAGGTCGGTCAGCAGGTAGGTGAGCCAGCGAAGCTCCTGTGCAGCCATGGCCCCGGCGTAGATCTCAGCCTCACAACTCGAGCCAAGAACAGAAGACGAGCGAGTAGCCCGCCACGAAACAGAGCCGGAACCAAGGCTGAAGGTGTAACCCTGTGACGACCGCTGCGTAGCCTGGTCGTCAGCCCAAGAAGCGTCCGCGTGCCCAGTGAGGACCACTGGACTCCGCCCTCCAAGCACTAGCCCCATGCCCGACGTACTGCACAAGTAGCGCAACACCCTCTTCGCTGCAGCCATGTGCTCTGGTCTGTGTCTCCCAGGAGCAACATAGCGTGCAAGAATGCTAAGAGGGTATGCGAGGTCAGGTCGTGTGCAGGTCATCAGGTACATGAGGCAGCCAACAAGCGCTGGGTACGGGCCACTCGACTCTACGGACTCATCCGAAGGCAGAGCTGAGAGCGAGTGGCGAGTAGACAGAGGAGTGGCCTGAGGCGAGGAGTACGTGAAGCCGAAGCGCTGAAGGACCTGCTGCACCATGTGTGACTGAGTCAGGGTAATGGTGCGGCGTGCTCTGTCCCGGGTGATCTGCAAGCCAAGGTAGCTGCGCAGTTCACCCAGGTCTGTGCACGTGTGTCTCTTCTGCAGCTCGGACTTCACGTAGGCGAGTCCAGCAGTGTCAGCTGTGGCAAAGACCAAGTCGTCGACGTACACGAGGATGTAGAACGGCGGCAGAGAGGTGTCGGTGCGTAGAAACAGCGACGGGTCGGCAGTAGAAGGAGCAAACCCAAGAGCCGCAAGTGTAGTCCTCAGTGTGTCGTGCCACTCACGTGGCGCTTGGCGGAGACCGTAGACTGGACGCCGGAGACTCCACTGGGTACCAGAAGGGAAAGACCCAGTGAAGCCAGGTGGGCGACGCAGCCAGATCTCCTCGTGCAGGCTGCCCTGCAAGAAAGCTGTGCTGAAGTCAAGAGAGTGCAGCTCGTAGTCACGGTGAGCAGCAACGTGCAGCAGTACCCGAAGAGTGGTCATCTTCGGGGTGGGGGAGAAGGTCTGAAAGTAGTCAACTCCCTGCCGCTGACTGAAGCCACGAGCCACGTAACGCGCCTTGAAGACAGGCGGAGAACCCGGCGGCCGCTTCACCCTGAAGATCCACATGCCACTGACGATGTTCGCCCCAGGAGGGGGGACAGCGTCAACGTAGGTGCCTGTGGACTTCCAGGAAGCCATCTCTGCATCCATAGCTGCCTGCCACTGAGAGGAGTAGGGACCCTCTATCGCCTCCGCGTAAGAGCGCGGAGTCGGGATGTCAAGTGCATCCGGGTCTCCCTCAGGGGTAAGCAGTACGGACACGAGATGAGGTGAGGCAGCTGCCAGACAGTGGAACTCCTCCTGTCTGTCCTCAAGGACGTCCGTGCCAAGGGCACACTCACCCCCGACGGACGGAGGACAGACAGACTCAGACTCAGCGACAAGACTAGCAGCGTAGTCTAAGCGACAGCGAGCAGCAAAGTCGACGAGCTCAGTAACGAGAGCAGACGCAGCAGTAGACTCGAAAGAAGGGTCAGTGACAACAGTAGCAAGGAGACGCGTGACAGTAGGACTGGCAGCACGAAGAGAGTCCGACTCCGGGTCGGCAAGAGCAGGAAGAGAGGACTCAGGAGGAGAAGGCAAAGGGGCACGCAGAGGAGCAGTGGACGGACGCAGAGACATCCGGTGCGTGCCAGGGACAGGAGGAGGACGCTGACGCGAACCGCGACCACTAGTGCGAGCAGCACGGACAGGCGACGCAGGGCGAGACGCAGGCTCACGACGCTCAGCCAGACCTCCAGTAGGACCAGTGTAGGGAGAAGGAGCAGGCAAAGGGGAGGTAGGCTGCAACTGTAGCTGGGACGAGACAGGCTCTGGACACTCTAAGGGAGGAGGAGGACCAGTAGAAGGTGGAAGACCAAGAACCTGCTGCAGGAGTGGAACGAAGTACGGTCGAGGCCGCGCGGCGACGCTAGAAGCAGCAGGGACAGCACCAGAACCCTCAGCAGGAGCACCCGCTCCAGCAGCACCACCAGTAGCTCCAGAACCTCCAGCAGCACCAGGAGCACCCCCAGTAGGACTGCCAGCGGTAGTCTCAGCGCCAGCACCCTCAGCAGCACCAGCTCCAGTGCACCCAGGACGAGCACCTCCGGGACCCGCGACCGCAGCACCCTCAGCAGCCGAAGGACCTCCAGCACCAGCAGCACGCCTCCAGCGCCGGGCAAACCACTCACGCAGCTCCTGTGGAGAAAGTGGCTCCCGGCGAGACGAAGCACTCGGAGAACCTCCAGGCGGAGCACCTCCAGGCTCAGCACCCCCAGGCGTAGCACCCCTAGGCTCAGCACCCCCAGACGTAGCACCCCTAGGCTCAGCACCCCCAGGCTCAGCACCCCTAGGCTCAGCACCCCCAGGCTTAGCACCCCCAGGCCCAGCACCCCTAGGCTCCGCACCCCCAGGTACAGCACCCCCAGCCTCAGCACCCTCAGCAGCACCAGAGTCACCAGTGACCTCGACAGGCTCGACTGCGTCTACCTAGGACACACCTGAAGGGGCAGGACCCTGAGGGGGGAGGGGGTCTACCTGGGGGGGACCTGGTACCAGGAAGAGTGGGGGTGGGGGGAGGGACGGAGTGCGGTAGGGGAAGAGGCGGTAGTAGGGGACCGACTCGTCAAACGTGACGTCCTGGGAGGACAGAACACGGCGAGAGGTGGGGTGGTAAAACTGCCACCCAGGCGCGTCAGGGGGGAACCCCAGGAAGACGCAAGGAGCAGCACGA